TTTAAAGGGCTATGACAAACCAAGGGGTGACATTTGTCTTCGAATTCTGATACCCAAGTACAAAACGCACGTATATGGTGCAAGTTATGAAGAGCAGCTGTGTGGGAGATAGACAAGAGAATGAAGCAAGTCCCCACCCCCCATTGAGATATAAGGAACAGGTCTGTAGGAAAGAACAGCGCCCCCCCCCCTTTACTAATGTGTTTTAGGGAATTTCTACATGCACCCATCCTTCAGAACTGACATGAAATGCAGGTAGGTGGTATTTTGGTCCGTTTTATTTATGTATCTTTTTGCTCTCATTTTTGTCCTGCTCTTCTGCATGAACTGTGCTCAGTGTGGCACACAAAATATAAATACAGTAATACCTCAGGTTAAGAATGTAATTCATTCTGGAGGTCCGTTCTTAACCTGAAACTGTTCTTCACCAGAAGTACCACTTTAGCTAATGGGGCCTCCCGCTGCCGCCGCGCTACTGGCGCGCGATTTCTGTTCTCATCCTGAGGTAAAGTTCTTAACCTGAGGTACTATTTCTGGGTTAGCGGAGTCTGTAACCTGAAGCGTCTGTAACCCGAGGTACCACTGTAATCATAAAAAGCCCCCCCCCCCCGATTTTCTTTTAACCCATTTGCTGATTGTATGCCATTTGTTTTGATAGATTTTTGTGACCCCTTCCTCTTGATTTACTCTGTTTTCATAGAATCATTGAACTCTGGAGGGACCTCAAGGATCATCTGGTCCAACCCCCTGCAATGCAGGAATCTTTTTGCCCAACATGGGGCTCAATAAATAAATGACTTTCCGTTACAGTTGGAACTTACTTGAATAATATAGCCTGCTGAGCTCCTGCATCCTTGGTTACTCTTTAATTCTGCATTCTGGCTTGCTCCACTTTCCTAACTTCTGGTTTGTTCTTCAGTTCTGACCTATGGTTTGTTTCTTCACCCCTGGCTTGCAGTGGCGTAGCGTGGGTTGTCAGCACCCGGGGCAAGGCAAGTAATTTGCGCCCCCTAACCCGTGGATTTGCGCCCCCTAACCCTAAGCCCCAGATGTTGCGCCCGGTGCGGACGGCCCCCCCTGCACCCCCCACGCTACGCCACTGCTGGCTTGTTCTTTGACTCTGGTTTGTCCTTCAGTTCCAACTTAGTTCTTTTGGCCCTTTTTTCCGGCTTGTCCCACAGCTTCGTATTCCTGGCTCCTGGCTTACCTCAGACTGCTGGTCACAGCCCAGCCCTCACACTGTACCCTGTCTCAGCATCAGTCCTGTCAGACATTTTGCAATTTTTTGAATTTTCTGTTTGTAACTTCTATTGTGTGGGTTTTCTTTAAAAAAAACTGCCCTTCATATTTTCTCTCTCTCTCTTTCTCTCTCTCTTTCTAACTCTAACTCTAACTCTTACAGAGTTTGGTGTAATTACAGCTAGAAGACTACTCCATCACTTTATGGGAAGTCATATAATTATCTAATATATTCACTTAGTGAAAACGATAGTTTGAGACTAAGAAGTGGATTCTGCTCTACTTTAACCTGGAGCAAATTCCATTGCCTTCCAGGAAATTACTCCAGATTTATGCCGGCGTAACAGAGATAAAAGTCTAATAACCCAGAATTTCTTTTTCTTCACTGCTTCTCAACACCCACACAGCTCTTGCTGCCAATAATTTGACTACCTCTAAAATAAGGGATTTTAAACAAAGGCTTGAATTCCCTGTACATTGTCGGGCATAGGCCAATATCCAGCTACCATGGGAAGCTTCTGCTTATTAACAGAGCAACAACCCTTAGACCGGAGTGTCATTCAAAAAGTATTTTTTAAAAACAACAGCAACAAAACCCTTTCTTCTGCTACCTTAACTCAGCTGATGAGGAAGAGTTTTATACGTGCACCAAAATCTTTATAGTCAGGAAAACATTGACCACATCACCCAGATGGACAGCTACCCAGAGGCAGTTTCGCCACCCTCTAATGGTGTCAAGGCAGACTTAAACAAAAGAAGCAGCAAGATCACATTGGGAATTCTGCTAGCTGCTTTGCAGCATGTAGAGCAGGGGTCAGCAACCTTTTTCAGCTGTGGGCTGGTCCACCGTCCCTCAGACCATGTGGTGGCCCGGACTATATTTTGGGGGGAAATGAACGAATTCCTATGCCCCACAAATAACCAAGAGATGCATTTTAAATAAAAGGACACATTCTACTCATGTAAAAACACCAGGCAGGCCCCACAAATAACCCAGAGATGCATTTTAAATAAAAGGACACATTCTACTCATGTAAAAATACGCTGATTCCTGGACCGTCCCCGGGCAGGTTTGAGAATGCGATAGGGCCGCATCTGGCCTGCGGACCTTAGGTTGCCTACCCCTGATGTAGAGAATGTCAACAGTTCTACCAGAAATGTCAATAATGTGAACACTTGTGGGGAAATTTACCTTGTGGAAAATAATCATCCATATTCCCCCCGCCTCTGTGTCCCAATGAAATTCAAATTTAAGTTAACTGAACCAGAAGAAAGACCTCTATCAACTTGCCACAAGTACTAGAAAAGGAAGGTACCTTTTATCATATGTGGTGGACTTGTAAGGTAACAAAAGCTTTCTGGGAGATGATATATATAATGAATTGGTGGGAGGGGGGATGCTTAAAACAACCTTTGTTAAGAAACCAGAAGCCTTTTTCTTAGGAATTACAGGTATCAGCATTCCAAAGGAGCAGAAAAGACTTTTTTATGTATGGAACAGCAGATGCCTGGATGTTACTAGCCCAGAGATGGAAAGAAGACAAAGTCTCTAGCAGAGAGGAACAGCAAACCAAGCTGATGGACTACGCCGAGATGGCAAAACTGACTGGAAAACTCAGAAACCAAGAGGACAAAAACTTTATAAAAGAATGGGACAAAATTATAAGTTACTTAGGAGACCACTGTAAGCAGATGGAAACATTGGCAGGAATTTGATTTCACTTGTAGCGTAATAATTACCATGGAGTATAAAAATTGGAGTATGGAAGAATATGTTTAAAATGGGACCCCATAGAGGAGATGGGGGGGGTCTGAGATTCGGAGGAAGCTGTTTATATGGATATACTTTTTGATATGTTTTTTGTAACTTTGTATTTGTAAAACCAATAAAAATGATTTTAAAAAAAAAAGTACCGGACACACCTTCACTGTGCCTTTGCCAGGTCATGCAAGGCAGATGGAACCAGAAATTCAGCCACCCGTACCACTTAACATTATTTGCCTAGAACCAATATTGGTATAGTTTTGGTGTCATAAAAACACTTTCGTTCTCCCAGGACTTTTAAAGTTCTAATGCTAGCTCTAAGTTCTAAGTCCTTGCTTCTGCTAGTGTGAGTTTTCATTATATTCTTCCTATTTATACTCTCTGGCTCTTATTCTTAATTCTGTTTTCTTTGCATTTATTTGAAAGCATGGTTGTATATTCATTTTTTAAAATTAAAAAAAACCATACATAAATTGTGATGAAGAGCTTTTTCACACAAAAAGCTTAAAACAATCCTTGCTGCAAAAAAATTACTTTGTAAGGTGCATCTGAAACCTACACTAGTAATAATGCTAATTTGCATTACAGATCTCTCTTTTCCACACTACCAGCCATCAGCATAAATTGCTCAAGAGACGTTCAGCACCAATTAAAGCCTGATGCCTAAAATCCGTCTCAATTTCATTCCAGTGCTCGGAAAAGGTCTCAGGCTCAAATCCTATTCTTTTTAGTTTGAGGGAAGCCCCACTGAAATCAGGGGGATTTATTTCCAATAGCATATGCATAAGATCAAGCTTGTACTCAATTGTCTGTTTTCACTGTTTCCAGTTGGTTAAAATAATGCTGTAATTCAAAAATTGCCAATTAAATTATCAGCTCCTACAAGCAACAGGTCTTCATTTCATCTGTCCTTTACACGCCTTTTATAATCAATCCGTTTTTACATGGTGATAAATTAATCCTGCCCGTCATTAATACAGAAAAAAGCAAAATGCTGTAGCCTTCATCGATGCAATTTACTCCAGCAGATGTGTATGTCTGCAGCCAGATCAATCAGTGCATGGGTATCAAGTTTAATTTTTCGGGTTTTGCCTCAGGGCACATAACTGACATTTGGTTACATTTGCTACAGTATATGCCAAAGTTTAAACCACAGGCAGAAAGGGCAAATAGATTACAAAAGAAGCTGCTTACAGACATTTCAAGTGAGTGCCTTATTATCTGGGTATGCTCATGTTGACTAAAAAATTAAGCGCAGGCTTCACTCCATAATGAGGCCAATTGAGGACACAATGGGAGCCTTATGTCTTCTGGCACACGGTGGGGGTCTTCCACACTCCAAAGGAAGCCTCTCAGCTGGTGCCTCCCTGCAGCTCTAGTACCATCCCACAATGTTCCCAGTTCACTGAGGGTGCATCTATGGAATATTCCCACACTCTCGGTCTGGTGCTTTAATGGTAAACAGCATAGCTGGTTCACATGAATGCATAGGGAGGGAGGGAGCAAGAGATCACTTGATTTCATCTACATGAAAATTCTGTCTTAAGTGATTCATGGTAGAACTGTGTTTGTTTGTTTGTTTGTTTGTTTGTTTGTTTGTTTGTTTGTTTAGCATAAGAATATAAGAAGAGCTTGCTGGATGGCCCATCTAGTCCAGCATTAAACCACAGTTTGTTAAATGTGATGTGCAAACTGGGCCATTGAGTTGGAAGGGACCATGAGGATCATCTGGAAGAAGAAGAAGAAGAGTTTGGATTTGATATCCCGCTTTATCACTACCCGAAGGAGTCTCAAAGCAGCTAACATTCTCCTTTCCCTTCTTCCCCCACAACAAACACTCTGTGAGGTGAATGAGGCTGAGAGACTTCAAAGAAGTGTGACTAGCCCAAGGTCACCCAGCAGCTGCATGAGGAGGAGCGGAGACGCGAACCTGGTTCACCAGATTACGAGTCTACCGCTCTTAACTACTATACCACACTGGCAATGCAGGAATATTTTACCCAACGTGGGGCTCAAATCAAGGACCCTGAGATTAAGAGTCTCATGCTCTACTGACTGAGCTATCCTCTAGTCAGGTAACTTCATATGTTCCTACCTGGTCCTAATACAAGTATTATGGTATTTGGAGTGTTTTCTAATGGAACAGCACAGTTGCCAGTGGTTTTTATGTGTTTTGGATAACGTCGACAATCCAGAAACCTGGATTAACAAAGCACACTTAGATGGCGCTGTTCATTTTTGCTGCATTGCATCCTTCCACAACATATATGTATAGGTATATATAGCTAGAACATTCCTTGACACTTACTGTAATCTCTGTCTCTCATGCTTTACTATATAGATGTAGCAGAAGCTATATCACGAGTGATCACCAAACTAAAGGACACTGTCATCAGAGCTTCCCACTGTCTAATTTTCACATTATGGTTAGTCTCAAAGCAGTTTACTTGTAACCAGTAAAATATAGGGTTTGTGAAGTCACGGAAGAGAATGCTTCTTCTTTTTCCTCTCTCTTATTGTTCAAAACTAGGCTTCTTGTTTATTGCTTGCTAACTCTTGTATATAAGTACTCCTTTTTGCCTGCATTAAGGTCATCTTGAGGTTAAATGGTTGGTATGTAAGGAAATAAAAATGGCTCAGTTATGTAGACAAACAAAATATGTAGTCTTCTGATTTGAGTCTTTCTCTTTTCCCTCATTAATTCCAGGAACAGCTCCAGATTTAGAGGGGAAGTGCAAATTCTACCCAAACACTGGTGGAAAATGAAAAGCAACCCAAAAGCCAATGCCTTTTCCCGTCATTAGTGGTCAAGCCTCCGTATGCCAAATGAAAGTCCATGTTTAATGTCGAAAAAGTCCAAATTTTGGGATCGGCACTTATTGCAGAGATTTCCCCCCGCGTTGTCTGTTTTTGGGGTTTTTTTGTTTTCTTTCCTTTCTGCCCAAAGCATATAAACTGCCTTGGTCCTCTTGAGCAGGTTAACATGAACGATGTCAGTGCAGAGCTGGCGATTCCATGAAGCTACATGAAGGAGAAGTGATGGGGGGAGGCACAACCACAATGTAATCTATACGAATGGGCTGTTTTGGCTCACCCTATACTTAGAATGATAGACTAAGAGGTAAACACACACAACCAGCAGCTTCATGTGGTGTTTCTGTTGCCGGACTGGACAACTTCAGACAGTGGCTGAGGTAAATTCAATGCTTCAATGTAAGCCACCTTCAGAACCCGTTCAAGGTCAGGGTGGGAAATCAGCGTTGGCCTCCAAATCTGTGTTGGGGAACCAGGGCCCCTCCAGATGTCGCTAGACAACAATTCACTCCCAGGGACAATCTTTCGTAATATGGCACCCTGTCCGAGACCAAATTTTGGCACCTCTAAATGGATCTTCTCAATTTTGCACCCCCTCAGCTCAGTGCCCGGTGTGGAGGAACCTCCTGCACCACCTGAAATTTTGGAATGTTCACACTATTCCTTTTTTGTATTTTTTTTTTAAATTAAATTTTCTGTTTTACAATTTGGAATATTCATTTAAACAACCTTAAAATGTCAGTGAATTCCCTTCTTCTCTTTCCATGGTTCATTTTGCATATCATAAATCCCTGCATATTTTACGTAAACTAAACCATTCAGTATTCCATTATTACATCCATCAAAACTTGTTTACACTGTTGAATTTATCTTAATGCTGCCAACGTTTTCAAGTGTATACAATTTTCCCCCATATATTCAATAAACATTTTCCAATCTTCTCTAAATGTGTGTTCTTCTTCTCTTATTCTATGTGTTAGGTCCACAAGCTGCGCATATTCCATCAGTTTAAGTTGCCATTCTTCTTTAGTTGAGACCTCATTCATTTTCCATTTTGGGGCTAGCAAAACACGGGCCACAGTAGTGGCATACATAAATAACCTTTTTTGACACCTGGGAATTTCCATCTGAATTATTCCCGACAAAAAGGACTCTGTGTTGTTGTTGTTTTTGAAAAAGCACATTTTTAAAATTCATTATGAATTATTTCCCAGTACTCTTTTACCCTTTTACAGGTCCACCTGACCATTGGGGATGCTGACTGGGGCTGCTGGGACTTGTATTCCAGGAATAATGATAATGATAATATAATTTATTATTTATGCCCCGTCCATCTGACTGGGTTTCCCCAGCCACTCTGAGCAGCTCCCAACAGAATATTAAAAACACAATAAAACATCAAACATAGCTGGAGAGAGCCTCAAGTCCCCACCCCTGCCTTAAATAAATCTATACATCCATCTATACCTCTCAGCACATTCAGAACTGCTGTGGGGGTGGACATGAGATTAGAATCTTCTCCCCAAGACCCAGTAGTTTTGTATGTTGAGGGTTGCTGCTTTTTCATGTCAGAGGATCCAAGCCTAGTGTCTCTCACCTACGTAGGAACATAAACTGTGTTATACCAAGTCATACTATTTGCCCATCTAAGTCTCCATTGTCTAACTGGCAAGGTCTCGAGCAGAGGTCTTTGCCATCACATCAGTATCTGGGCTCTTTAACTGGAGATGCAGGATTTCATAGAATCATAGAATCATAGAGTTGGAAGAGACCACAAGGGCCATCGAGTCCAACCCCCTGCCAAGCAGGAAACACCATCAGAGCACTCCTGACATATGGTTGTCAAGCCTCTGCTTAAAGACCTCCAAAGAAGGAGACTCCACCACACTCCTTGGCAGCAAATTCCACTGTCGAACAGCTCTTACTGTCAGGAAGTTCTTCCTAATGTTTAGGTGGAATCTTCTTTCTTGTAGTTTGGATCCATTGCTCTGTGTCCGCTTCTCTGGAGCAGCAGAAAACAACCTTTCTCCCTCCTCTATGTGACATCCTTTTATATATTTGAACATGGCTATCATATCACCCCTTAACCTCCTCTTCTCCAGGCTAAGCATGCCCAGCTCCCTTAGCCGTTCCTCATAAGGCATCGTTTCCAGGCCTTTGACCATTTTGGTTGCCCTCCTCTGGACACGTTCCAGTTTGTCAGTGTCCTTCTTGAACTGTGGTGCCCAGAACTGGACACAGTACTCCAGGTGAGGTCTGACCAGAGCAGAATGCAGTGGCACTATTACTTCCCTTGATCTAGATGCTATACTCCTATTGATGCAGCCCAGAATTGCATTGGCTTTTTTAGCTGCCGCGTCACACTGTTGGCTCATGTCAAGTTTGTGGTCAACCAAGACTCCTAGATCCTTTTCACATGTACTGCTCTCAAGCCAGGTATCACCCATCTTGTATTTGTGCCTCTCATTTTTTTTGCCCAAGTGCAATACTTTACATTTCTCCCTGATTTCAGCCTGGGACTGTTGGCTGATAAAGCAAGTCTTCTTCTTAGCTGCAGTAATGCCATTGGAGCAGGCGTTTGGGGCTGAGGTCCAGTGCCCTGCCTCCACCAAGAACAGCAGGGCTGGTTTTCCACAATTTGAAGTGGGAAGTAAAATATGTTATAATCTAAAGAAGAGTTCCCATAGCATCATTAAGCCCAGAATCCAAAAATTAATTACCACTGCTGAGTTATAGCATCTTCATTTAAATATGAGACTTACACCCCTCATTGGACACTATTAAGATCATAGAAAGCTGTATAATTTTCACAAATAGAATGCATTCCTGTATGTTGTTTTTACTAACATATGCATTTTTATGGACACTTTGCATGCATTTTTATCCACATTTGACTGGAGAACTGCATTAAAACATTCGTAGAAATGGGGATTTTGAAAGATGACTGTGTTTCAGCCTGCAAATGGTTTCAGAAAGTGCAAAGTGAATCGAATTTCTCCCCCATTGCTATTGACCATTTTTGGCTGGTTCTGTATGTGCTCCTTTCAGCCTGTGGCAAACCCCAGGTTTCAAATACACGAGAGGAAAGAACAGATACAAGGAGATCGTCCAATGTTTGCACTTGGCCTGCTGTGTCAGATGAACCAAGCAGCACAGCAAATGGCTGAGAGCTTTCCATAGATATAAAAACAGAAGGTGGATCTTGGTGTTTTAGCAAAGGAGACAAGAAGTCTGCTGATTGAGGCTGCCATAACAGCAGACAGAAAAACAGAGGAAGAACAAGCACAGAGGGTAGCAAAAGATCAGCAACTTTGCCACGAAGAGCAACAGTTGTTGAACAATAGAGTAAACTCTCTTCTAGTGATTATTGGAAGAAACTCCAAATAACATGAATGAGCAGCTGAGGAATGTGAAAGAAGCCCAATGGTCAGTATGATCAGAAATGACAAGAATTCAGCAACAGTCCATTGCCAAACGAGAGAATATTGCCAAGAGAAGCAAAGAATTATGGGAAATGTGCTGACACCCTTGTTTTCAGGCATGATGGCTACTGATGAAGGACAAGTGCGACCTGAGAAACAAGGATGTAAAAAGAGCCCTGCTGCAATAGACCAAAGGCTTGTCCAGTTTAGCATCACACTGACCAATCAGGTGCCCAGAGGAAACCTCTAAGCAGGACCACAATGGCCCATTCCTGCTATTGATTCCCAACAATTGTATCATTTCAGCATATAACACCGACACTGGCTGCCAATTAGCTGATTTTGACCTATAAAGCCTTAAATGGCTCAGGACCGCAATACCTCAAGGACCACCTCTCTCCATATGAACCAGCCTGGACCCTGCAACCATCATCTGAGGCCCTTCTTCGTGTGCCCCTTCCACTATAGGTCTGGAGGGTGGCAACAGAAGAACAGGGATGCCACTGGTCTCTCTTCCAGTATCTGCAATGCATGGTTGTAACTTAACAGCATCCCTGGCAGCAGGGTAGCCAACAACCTCCTTAAAGAAAACTCCAGGCAAGGAGAGCCCAACATCTCCCAAAGCAATCTGCTCCATCATCAACAGCCCTTACCATTAGAAAGTTTCTCCTTATGCTTATAATAGCATTTTAGATAAATAATAATAAATACACATCTTGTGTTTGGAATATTTAAAGATATGGCACCTTGAGATATCTATTTGTTGCTATTTTAACTGTACGCATTTTAAAAATCAAGAGTATCCCATTGTGTTTATCCAAAGAACCGTGCATTCAATTTGCGTCACTGCATCTATCAGAAGTAGAAGCCCTTCTTTTGTCCACAGCTACTGTTTTTATGCTTGACAAGTCTAAATCAAGCTCACATTGGCAATACGGAAGATCATTTCTCACACCTGTGTTTTAAAGCCAGGGGACGATCATATGACAAATCCTATCACGGACTATTCTGAATGAAGATGTTTTAATAGGCCAGCTATTTAGAACCTGCTATTTCTGTTTAACCAGCATCACCTCATTCTGGCTTAACGACCATGAATGAGGAGACGCTCCCAGGGGCCAAGCAGTCGCATGTTGTGGCGCGATAAGTCATTAAAGACCCACTGACGCCCCACGGGCTGGAGAATTTGGAAAGCCAGCCTGTGTAAAGACACTGCCACTTTTGCTATGCAAGAATCATTTCTTATGATGCATTGCAGTTCAGGCAAATCTATACCCATGTGCAAGGACACCTATATTTTGCAATGTTTCCGCTTGTCAAATATCCATGTATGGTACTATCTGTGGTTTCAAAATAACAATCAAATCCAACGTTTATATACTGTTTTATGGAGACCTGAGAGTGCTTCAGAAAGAGGAGTGTTTCCAAAGATCTCAAAAGCCCACTCTGCGGTAACTCAGAGCAGGACTTTTAGTGTGGCTGCCCCTGTTCTGTGGAACAATTTCCCTGTCAAAATATGGCAGGTGTCCACTATCTGCACTTTCAAAGGAGCCTTGGTGTCCACCATATAATAGCCATCCTTAGTGAAGCCCTGCCTCATTTTATTCTACATGCTCACTCCTTCTGGCATCCGATCATCTCAGCTGCCATAACAAAGTATGAAGTTTGTTTTCTGAATACACACCCTCTCAGAGCCAGGGGTCAAGCTCCTCACAGCAAAGCAAAGACAAGGAAACTCTCCAAATGTCTTGTCACTGATATGCAGTAAAATAATAATGCTTTGTACTCAATGGGGAAAAGTAATGTTAAAATACCATGGAGATCAAATAGCATTTTTAAGAAATTCCATGAAAGGGAAGGAAGGCTAGAATAAAGAACATTGGGACTGAAAGAGCACCAATGGACCTTTTGCAACTTGGTAAAATGCACTTCAATGAATTGGAAAAAAACCATGACAAGTGGGGCACCGCCCAAGCAACCTCCGCTGACCCCCAGCCAGACCCCAGCTGTCTGCCTTATGACATACTTCCAGTCCTGGGAAGAAAATGCCTATCAGCTTCCTCCTTCTCCTTAGTCTCAGTCAGTAGTGTAGTGGCAAATTCAGAAGTGCAGAGTCTCTTCATGACAGTCATAGGCACGATCCTCACAGCCCCACCTGCTCACGACACACCTGTCTTGAAACTGTAATAAAGAAGAATTTCTAAAAGATGGTTTGTCAATGAAACAAACCTATTCATGTAAGAGAGACCAAGAGATTAAAAAATGAAGACCTTAGTCGGCTATGCACCTGCCAGAAAATGACCATGTTTGCACAGAAGTGGAAGGCCACCCAAAATGGACTGTGTTTGTAATCATTTGCATTTGTAAGCAATCCTAAATACTCGTGTCTCTGTGTTATTAATTAATGGGGAACTGTGGGGCACAGGGCCTTGGCACGCAACTAGCAGTGATGAAATAGTATGCCTATATATTGTAAGATACAACACACCATTGCTTGTCAGCTATAAAGTCCTGTCAAATATGGTTATTAACAGTGTAATCATATACATGTCTATTTTAACCTAACTCTCATTGACTTCAGTAGTACTTATTCCCAGGCAGGTGAGTATGGGATTGCACCACCTATTGTGTAAAAGAAAGACATCAGATTGTTGTCGTATTTTCCACCAAATATTGGAACACTCAGAGAACTTCTGGAAAATTTAACATTAAATTTTGCAGAGGAATATTTTGGAGGAGAATTCTTGGCAGCTCTAGTCCTAAGTGGCCTGGGAGATATAACATTACCTGCATTCCACGGAATGGTACTTGGCTTTGCGTGATCTGTCAAACTTCAGATCTGTCAAACTTCCGACCATTGGCTTAGGATGAGAACAGTATGAAAATGGTGCCATGAATAACAGATTATCTCATCTTTTGTTTAGGGTCTTCTGCTTGGCTCATCTGTCTGGATCTAGGTTGCTCTCCTAAACAGCCTAAATTATCTTTCTGCTTCCTTGATTCAAATGCCATTAAAACTCTTCCATGAGGCCAGAAACAAATCACGCTTTTTTATTACGGCAGCCTTGTAATTAACCACTAGCCTGGTAGCCGCAGGTGACAAGGAATTCCACATAGGTGAATAAGTGTGCTGGCAGAGAAGGGACAGATTGCAAGCAGGCTACCAGAGGAGAGAAACCCACTCCTTCCCTCCCAGCACAGAAATGGAGGAAGAGCAATGCTTTTTGTACCTTCTATGCTAGTTCCAAGTGAACTAGTACTTTTTATAAGGCTAGTAGTTTCTGAGAGCTTGTTTGCAAAGCATTTCAGTAGCACATCTCCAGTCCAGACAACGATCGTTCTGGAGATTGGGTGCTTAGTCCATGCAGACATAGTTATTGGTTTTGACATTAATAACCTATGTTTTCTCCAAGAAAAGAGCTGATTATCCTCCCAATGAGGCTGAGATACATCTTGTACTGAGAGACAGTGACTAGCCTCAGATTACCAAGTGAGTGTTCCGAATGGGCAGGATTTAGTATGTGTGTGTCCCCATTCCATTGCACCACAAAATCCATTGTTCTCTTACATCACAAACTGGACCTCAGGAATGCCTCAACCTCAGGTATTTCCCCTATGAGGAAAGGTAGCAGCACTTGACTTTTTAGAACAGCGGTTCTCAACCTGTGGGTCCCCAGATGTTGTTGGACTACAACTCCCATCATCCCTGAGCTCTGGCCTTTCTAGTTCAGCAACATCTGGGGACCCACAAGTTGAGAAAGGCTGGTTTAGAGGAAAGCCAAGTAAGGGGTGACATCACTGAAGTTTGTAAAACAAAGCATGGCATAGAGAAGATCGAGAAAAGTATTCATCCCTCCCCCATATCGCTAGAACTTGTAGACATCCAATAAAGATGAATGTTGGAAGATCATCACAAAAGAAGGTACTTTCTCACACTGCACAAAGTAAAACTATGGAACTCACTTCCAAAGGAGGCATTAATGGTTTAGCATTACCTGTGCATCTATTCTAATCAGCTCCCCCATTTTAACCTGGGTTTAAAAACAGACTTTAGGGTGTCGTTGGAACCTTGAACCATGATTGAGGCTGATAAGAAAAAGAGGAAAGAATTCATGCCAGACTTGGAGATGGGAAGATGGCAGGGATGGCCCACTCCCAGACTTTTAATACCCAATTTGATTCATGCCCGAATTATGTCTGCACAAGACTATAGAGTTACATAATGTATTTTTCTCCATTGTCTGTGAGGATACTGGGTACTTGTGCTAGAGGTCTTTCCAGGAAACCAAATGCCATTTTTTGCATTACTGTGGTTGCATAACAGCTACTAATTAGACTGCCTATTATTTCAGTATTCAGTATTCACTGTTCACTGTCTTGCTCTTAAAAGATAGTAGGAAATTTTTCAGCTAAAGTAAGGGTAAGGAACCTGTGACACCTCCATAAGTTGTTGGACTCCAGTTCCCATCAGCCCCAGCTAGCCTGGTCAATAGTGAAAGCTAATGGGAGCTGGAGTCTAGGAACATCTGGAGAGGTTTCCCACCTCTGGACATTGTTAAACTGAGCACCACCACCTCTGCTTCCCCAAATTTCCCAATGGTGATGAAGGACTTAGCTATACAGCATTTTCAACATGAAGTAAACCTCCTGATCTAGCCTTAGTGATGACCCCAAAAAGGCTCTGTTCATTCACAGCCCATGTCCCTCAAAAATCCACTGCATTCAGGGTCTGTCTGGAGACAGACAATAGCTTTTTTCAGAGAGCTGAAAGTGGTACGACGGAGGCATCATTGGTCATAAGCGTGTGCACACTCATTTCTTTTGACTCATTCTTGTTTTCTCCAGTCACACAAATTGCCCTAATTTAAGATCCCCATTCCCTGAGCCCTTTTCATAATATGCATGAATAGCCCTAAAAGTGTAAGGAATTGTGTCAAATGCACAAGTACATGAGCCTAGCTGCAGCTAAGCAGGGCTAGGTATTTTATAAAGGGTGAAATAGCTCTTACTCAACTTAGTTAAGCAACTTGGTGCCATCCAGATGTTGTTGGACCACAACTCCCATCAGGCCCTAGCCAGCATGGTTAATAACCAGGGATGATGGGAATTGTGGGTCAAAGCATCTGGAGGGCTCAGGACTGAGCTAGGCAGCCATAAAGTGATTCTGCCTGACAAAGCTTTTTGTGCAATCAACATGCACTTTAAGTGATGATGCAGCAATCACCCAAATCATGCATTCTAGCAAGACGTCAACATATATTTTAAAAACTATTCCACTAATTTCCATTGCCCCTTGGTATATTTCCTGCTCTCTTTCTGAACTCTGTAAAGGAATATTCCCCAGACTTTGTGTGATGGTATCTCAACAGCTACCCTGTGGGAGGGATTGCGACGAATTCCCAGCAAAAGTGCCAAGATCCCTATGGAGTTTGAGGCAGCAGCGAAAAGGCAACGATGTGGCAGAGGCCAATGGCAACTAGAACAGTAGCAACATTTGGCAGCTGTTTACAGTTATATTCAATTAGTCACTTTTAAACATTGTTGCAGAAGGAAGTTCTTTAAAGTGTGTGACGAGAATAAGCTGCCTGATTCTCCAGACTTTTTATACATCGCATGCTGAGCGACTTAAGGTGCAGTTCTATGAATGGACACATAATGAGTTCAATGAGACTTACTCCAAGGAAAGCCTTTAGTTTTTTTTTTAAAAAAGAAGAAGCTAAGTTTTAAAAAGAAAAACTGCATCAGGGTTGTAGATCAGTGGTAGAACATCTGCCTTGCATACACAAGGTCCCAAAATGTCATTTTGCCATCAAGGCAATGTTGGCATGGAGTTGTGTCACATGGCAAGGAACGAGAGGGTGGATTCTTTGGGACCAAGAGTCTTGGTCCAGACTGCTTATTTATTTTTGCATTTATTTATTGCATTCATGTCCCACCTTTCCTCATTTAATTCCTATAGAAACCCTGTAATGTAGGCAAGGCTGAGAGGCAGTGGATGGACCACGATCATCTAGGGAGCTTCATGGCCTGAGATTTGAACCCTGGTCTCCCAGGTCCTAGTCCAATACTAACCACTACACCACACCAGCTCAGACTATTCTGTCCATTTCAAATACTAACATTTGTCCTTCAGGGTTATGGAACCCTAATAGTTCACCAAGGTCCATCAGAGCAATAGTAGCTTATAGGATGAGTGTTGGATACAAGCTTTGGAGCTTGTTGAGGTAGTTTTGTCCTTCCCCTCTGGTCATCTGCCTGGTGTAAACACCAAGCAGTTAAGCATTCAATTTCAAAGTATCTCCTTCCTTCAATCAATGCTTAACCCTGCATGCAAAACAGTGTATGCAAATCCAAAACCTGGGCAGAAACTCCGAGGTGATGGTTAGATGAGTCTTTATTTAATTTTCTATTCCCTTCCCCCCCCCCTCCAACTTAGCCCAAGGGCTTGTTGCAATGCCTTTGGCCATGTACAACACAAGCCACCATTTGCGATTAGGGGCGGGGCCTCCTGGACATAGGCGAGGCTTTGCAAATAAGTTTATTTCTGGGCTTTCCCCATTTGTGCAACTTTATTGATCCATCCCATCTACCTGTGTATCCGCCCCCCCCCCCAACCAGAGAACAATAAGATATTGAGGAGGCGACAGGAGAGAGGCATATCTTCGGTGGCAGCAAGCGATGGCAGCAGTCGTCTCCGTCGACCTGCCCCTTTAGCAATGAATGATGCGAGCGCTCTGGAATTGGGGACAGGGCTGCCTGCGGTGGGAGGGCGGGAGGGGGAGTCCGGCTGCCCAACGCCCCTCGGGCGGCTTGCACCAAAGTGCGGCGTTGGGTTACATCAGCAAAGCAAATGCGAGCCCAAGACGCCGGGCCAACTTCAGAAGCCTCCTTCGCGCGGCTGGCCATGGAATACGCACGATATGTCGAGCCGCTGACTTCAGCCAAGAGCTATTCGCTGGATCTCCTGGTGTTGTTTGATGCTGGACGGGGCGCGCGGGGGGGAGGCGGGGGAGCGCCTGCAAGAGAAAGGAGAAGCGCTCGCTTGTGTGTGTGTGAGTGTGAGTGTGTTTAGGTCCGCGGGCGAATCAGAGGCGGCGATGGGGGCCGCGTCACCGAGCGCCAAGCCTATAAAGGCATCTCGCGGGCCGTCTCCCCCTGGCAAAGAGAGCTCTCGGCGTGCGCTTGGGACGGCTCGAGCGCGCCCTCCTCTGCCCCCTGGCGTGCGAGCGGAGCTAGACCTCCGGCGGCAGGAGAGCCTTTCTTTCCTTTCTCGCTTGCCCCCTCCACGTCGATTCCAGAGGATCTTACAGTGACCTGGTGGTGGTGCTTGGTGGTGTTGGAAGAGGAGGACGCGAGGGGAGGGCGGGCAAGACTCGGCGTCTGGATTTTGCACTAGCCTTTGGTGGCGCAGCGCATCATTCCACATGGATCTATCTGCCAAGCTTTGACTTGCCCTCGGGGAGGACGCAGCTTTGCTGGCTTCTGAGTCCCCTTTCTCCCCGACCAGCCTTCCTCGGACCCTCCACTCCCGGGGCCCTTGTCTCTCTTGGGTGCGCCCCGCGCCCCGCCCTCTCCCCTCCCCACCTCTTCTCCCTGGAGCAGCCGGCGTGGCCGGGGCCCCCCGATGTCTTCACTGGACTCCCCGCCGCTGTGGGTGGGGTGTCTCTCTCCGGCGTCCGGCCAGCGGCTTCTTCTTCTTCTTCTCCTTCTGAACTGTAGGCTCCAGGGCCAGTTGCGACTGACAGGCGGCGCGCCCCGCGGCCAGGCGAGTTTCTCGCGCCGTCTACCTTGAAGCTTTGGATCGGGCGCAGCGCAAGGCGTGGGGAAGGCGCGGCGCCCCCCGGCTGCACCTGCGGGGCTGCGGCGGGGGGAGGGCGCGGGGCGGCGGCGGCGGCAACAGCTCCCTCCCCCGCCTGGATTGCGAGCAAGGCTCTTCTCCCCACCCCAGCCCACATCGCCCACCCACTTCGAGGATCTCCGCGCCCCGGGCTCCACATGCATCTCTGAGCCGGAGAGCCGTGGATCCCGGGCGTTCATGTCACCCTTGGGTCGGAAGAGACCAGATCCGAGGTAAGCAGGGGGAGGGCTCTCCGGGGAAACCGCCCCTCTGGGCTGGGGAGCTCAGGGAGTTGCGCAGCGATGGTCTGGCTGGTTGAGGGGCCTGGGATGGGGACGGGGAGAGACTCGCCTGCTCCGAGGACAGGAGTTTTGGGGCGGCTTCTCCCCACCTCCCCCACCTTGAGAACTCCGCCCTGGTTATTCTGGATCCGCCGGAATCCAGGGGTCTAAACCAGCAGAGTCGGGTGGTAACATTTCAAGAGCGCCAGTAGCGAGGGCCCTCTAACAAAAAAGGAGGGGAAACTTGCAGGAGTTAAAAGTGGTATTTTTTATAATTATTTTCTTGGGGAGTGGGTTGTTTCTGTCTCCATCCCGCCATCTCGCGTTGGTTAAGTGGGCTCCTTTGCCTGCGGGGGGGGGGGCATTTGGGAAATCCCCAGGGAGGTCTTATGGCACGAACTCGTTTTAGAAGTATAGACTCATCCTCTGGTCATTTCAAGCGGGTTAGTTTAACTTCATTGTTGAACTTCTCAAAAAAAAATAGTGAAGGTGATGAGCGCGTTCCAAATAACTGTTTGGCAGTCGTTACGCAGTTACGTCGGGCCGAAGTTGAGAGAAAGCCTTGTGAGAACTGGACAGAACTGGGGTCCTGCCCCATAGCTCTCCACTGGCGCGCCTCTGGCAGCCAGACGCAACGGTTGCTTAGGTTTCTGGAGAATGCGCTTCTTTGCTATATAAGGCCACTCGCAACACCACCCCAGATCCAAATCAGTATGGCTGGGGTCATCTGAACCCGGATCCTATGTCTATTTATTCAGAAGGGAGACCCACTGTCTTCGGTGGGGCTTACTCCCAGGTAAGTGTGCAATTACAATAACTCCCCGCCCTGCAGCTCTAAATATTTTGCCGTCGGCCTGCTCACCTGAAAAGACGCTTCCTCTGGAGAGCTTCAAATGTGGAGGAATTAAATTTGTCTCGTTACTCTCCCTTGGACCAAGGCGATATATATGGTTCTACCTCTCCCGCTTTAGTCTAACAACATCCCTGTGAGGTAGATTAGACTGAGAGACCGTTACCAGCCAAAGGGTCGCCTGGTGAGAGTTTCAAGTTGAGTGGCGGGTTGGAACACTTGTCTCTCAGATCCTCCCTGTTATGCCAAGGTTTTCCTCGGCTTCAAGAGTGAAGGGCGACATTTTTTTGCATCCTTGAATAACAGTGCAAGCCAAGACATGTGTACTCAGAAGTTGGACCCGCTGAGTTCAGTGGGACGTACTCCCAGGTAAATCGTTCTAGGTTTTCAGCCAGGTTCGTCCATCCTTGGAGTCCCTGGTGTCTCTCTGGTTTCGCTAGGATGTAAGGGGCTTAAGGTGTCCCTGGGGGAACTGATCCTGGAGATGCGTAAAATAAGACTTTTTCAGTGCCGTGTGTGCGGGCTGAACGGGAGGGCTGCGGAAAGGCGAGTCAAGGGACCGTGCGCTCCACAAGGCTTTTAAATCGGAAACCAGCTTAGTGCCACGAAAACCCTCAAGACGGCTAGAAGCTTAAGCGGTCGCCTAAACTTTTCCCTGGCTGTCAGCTCCGCCGTCTCACCGTGGACGGTGCTTTAAACTAGCAGCCTCCGACTAGCGTCCGCCGATCGTGTGGGAAAAGGAAACCAAAGCGCATGGAAAGAAAGAAAAAGTGCGCTGGACGGGTTTTCCCCAGGCGTGAGCTGGGCACCTCTTGTGTGAATCCAGAACCGAGCTTCCTCCCATAATCGCTTCTCTCCAGAGGCCCAGAGTTTCCCGATCCTGCTCGTGCTGGGACGGCAACACCAGCCCCGCCGAGCCAGCGCCTCTTCTTGCGCCTTGAAACGTGTCCGAAGCAGCGCTTATCCGACGGCGACGCGCGCTTCGATCGCCCTCTTCTCCTCCCACTGGAAATAGGGAATACGCCCAGCACCGCCGCCTTGCATCGAGGCAGGGACTCGCTCACCTTTCCCCTCCGAGGAGAAATCCTCGGCAAAGGTCGGGAATGCTCTGGGAGCGTCGCGATCCCAAGGGAAAGCGAGCTTGGGTTGCAATTGCCCGAGCCACCTTATTTCCCTAAAGATTTCCGTGGGGTTCGTAGGGGATCAGGAGCCGCCACCGAGCGACGCAGAGGCAACACATTTTGGAGAGGTGCGTGATCTCTCTGGAGAGAGAGAAGGGACACGATTCCCCTCCGGAATTAAAAAAGGTAGTTCGTTAGAGGTGTGGATCTGGAGGAGGTAGTTAATGCATATTCAAAGTTGTTGGGCACAGGTGATTAGCACCCTAGAGCAGGAGAGGGTAGGAAATGCCCAGAGAAGGAGCCCAAAACTGGGCTCCATCCTGCATCAGAATCTTCCCCTAATCCCATCCAGGGATGTTTTCGATTTTAGGGCCAGTGACAGGTGGGAGGGGTCTATTGCCATTTGACTTGGAATGGGGAGAGTTATAAGATCCTTGGGCATGTTACCCCAGAATTCAAGAGTGGTAACTCTTTGTTGGGAGTATATATGCATAAAATCACCAGAACAAAGGTCTAGTCGCATCTTAAAGACCAATAATAATATATTTACATAAATAAGGCAGACACTTTCATGGACTACACTTGGCCAGGTGCATTGGATGAAAGCTATTTATCTGTCATAAATAAAATGAGTTAGTCTATAAGGTGCCACAATACTTTTTTAAATTCTCTGCCTTCCCCCTGCAACAGACTCTCAGTGCTACCTCACTGGGAAATGCATAAGACCGCAGCATGCTAGCCTAACCAAGAGGTAGGCTGAAAATAAGAGCCATTCCCACAGATAGGCTTTTGTGAGAAAATCGCGTGCAATTTGTTTATATAGATTTAACCTGCTTGGTGTATTGAGTCCGGAATTGGTCAAAGGCATCTCTCTCCCTCTCTTTGCCCTGTTAAGAGATTTGCATGTGCAAAAGAGTATTGTAATAATTTGATTAGGCTTGGGGTTTTTTAAGTGGTTTCCATGGCGATGAGGCAGCTTGGCTTCCCAAAGTTATACAATGGGGGGGGGGGGGACAGGGACATCCCTCCAAAAATATTGAGGAAAGGGGAGGGGCCGGATGCTGCAAATCCAGCAAAGCCAAAGTAGGTGTGGACTGCCCTCTAGTGACAGGTTTGAAATGGTAATTTCACCTGAGCACTAACCGAAACAGGACTGCACAACTTGTGGTCCACAAAGTGTGCGGCGGCCCATCAGGAACGCGGTCAAGTTCTGGTGTTTGTTGCTTGTCTGAGGCTGCAAGAACAGGAGAGTTGTCAAGCACATAGGAGGTCAAGAGCCGATTAGAGTGTCTTGATTCGGACCTGGGAGAGCTGAGTTCGATTCCCCTCTCTGCCATGATACTCACTGGGTGACCTTGGGCCAGTCACTTACCTCTCAGGGTCATTGCAGAGAATCAAACGAGGGGAGGGAGAACCATGTGCATCGCTTTTAGCTCCTTGGAGGAAAAGGTGGAATATAAGTGCAATAAAAAAAGAATAGCTGTGTTTGGTTTGGTTACAAGGCCTGCCTGGAGAGTTACTGAGGTATACATGAGGGATGGTGACACACCATAAAAGCACTGAAGGCATGAACTGGTGTCTGAATAGTGCATTAAGACTTTTTTTTAAGTGTTGGCCCTAGCTGGGAGGGGTGAAGGGAGGTGCCCTAGGGCTCCACTTCAGGGAGCAAAAAGTCCTGCTTGGGTCCAAGGGCTGTCTTCCTTTGAAGTGCATCTCTGTGGCTCAGCCATGGGATATGAAAGGATGGCAAAGGAGGACAGCAGCTCTGAGCCTGTACAGAACGCTTTCCCCTCATCACCCACCAACCACAACCAGCCCTTGCAACACCTTGGCTGGAAAGCAATGGGATTGGATGAGGAAGCTGATTTCCTGGCAGGCATTCTGGACCAGAGCAGAACTTTTAGAAACTGTAGATTGCCAAGGCAAGCCTTGAAGGGAGCTTTTTGCAGTGTTTTTGCATGCTTAACTACCTCATTGCAAATATGAATATATACACTGGCCCACTTATGAATGCCCTTGTTTGCAAAGGTCTATGGCTACAAGCAGTAAATACGCACTGGATTTGAGTGCCCTAGTTTTAGTAGTTTACATGTGCGGTCTCTCGTTCACTTTATTTTGAGAGCCCTGTGTTACTCTTTAAAGTTTGCTCTTCTTAAAAAAAATGAATGAAAATGAAACATTTTCCCCAAATGTTTACCACTTTTACAACAACATTCAGAAGCAACCTTTTAACTGCAGTAATAAATAAAGTAGGATCACATTGGAAAATTTAGCTAAATCGCCCTATAATGCATGTTATAAGTATGGCACTCCCAAATCAACTCAGCTTCTGTTACTGTATAGAATTCTATCACACAGACAAGCTGTCTTGTCTTGGTGAATAAATTTGCCTAGTAGTCATTGCCAGGCCTTAAGTTCTTTAAGTTCTGAGAGCCAGCGTGGTGTAGTGGTTAAGAGCGGTGGACTCGTAATCTGGTGAACTGGGTTCGATTCCCCACTCCTCCACATGCAGCTGCTGGGTGACCTTGGGCTAGTCACACTTCTCTGAAGTCTCTCAGCCTCACTCACCTCACAGAGTGTTTGTTGTGGTGGAAGAAGGGAAAGGAGAATGTTAGCCGCTTTGAGACTCCTTCGGGTAGTGATAAAGCAGGATATAAAATCCAAACTCTTCTTCTTCTTCTTCTTCTTCTTCTTCTTCTTCTTCTTCTTCTTCTTTTTTAGTCATTGTAGCTATTGGCCAAAGTTGAAACAGATAGGGGAACTTTGGAAGGACCACAATGTGGTCAGGCCAAGAAAGGTGTAGCTCCTCCCAAGACTTCAATTCCTGTCTGATTTGTGTTAGCAGAAGTGCAAAATTTGCCCTCTTTAAGGAATGCGGGTTTTTAGTACCAAATACTTAAGTTTTTGAGGACAACTTTTAAAACCAGTAATGTGCTTTGTATTAGCCTGAGATTGCAATGGAGTACCTAAACACATAATTTCAGATTTAGGCTCATTTATTTGCAGTCTTGTTACCTCTCCATAGTACCTCTGTTCCTTTGCAAGCCCAGGTGTTGCAGTTTCTGGTTTAGATAACATAAGGGTGATGTCATCGACGAAAAAGCTGATAGTATGCAATCTCCCATTTATTGTTACACCCACTATTTTCGCATTGTTTCTAACAGACATTGCTGGTGGCTTGATAGAGAGAACAAAGAAAAGTGGTGATAAAGGGCAACCCTGCTTTGCTCCACACTATCAAGAAGAGGTTGGAGTCAAGACCATCCATTCATACTGTGGTAAAGGAGTGTTCATACAAAGCAAAGATTGAGCTTATGAAACACCGGCCCATGTTGAGCTCTAAATATTACCATATTTTTCGCTCTATAGGACGCACTTTTTCCCCTCCAAAAATGAAGGGGAAATGTGTGTGCATCCTATGGAGTGAATGCAGGCTCCTTAGCTTCAGCGATTGCAACGCTCCGAAGGGAGAGTGCTCCGGAGGCTTCGCATTGCTTTCGCTGAAGCTGCCTGAAGCCCCCGGAGTGCAGTGGGAGTTCCCGCTGTGCTCCGAAGGCTTGTGGATAGCCACCTTAAGCCTGGAGAGCGAGAGGGGTCGGTGCACACCAATCCCTCTCGCTCTCCAGGCTTCGCTTCGCTGGAGAGGCGCTGCACAGTTTTCCCTCTTTGCGCAGCGCCCCTTCAGCGAAGCGGGAGGAGAAATGGAAGGGGCTCCGCTTCTCCTCCCGCTTCGCTGAAGGGGCGCTGAGCAAAGAGGGGGAGAATTTTTTTTTCCTGTTCTCCCCCTCCTATGGTCCGGTGCGTCCTATAGAGCAAAAAATATGGTAACATCTTTAGAAATTAACATCTTTAGAAAGATGCATCTTTCATATTAGTGGCTGAAAGCAGACATTTTGTCATGCACATACAACATTTTCAAGTGAACATCTTACTGTATTTTTAATATTTTGTTGAAATAATAAATTATTATTATTATTATTATTATTATTATTATTATTTTATTATTAAAACACTAAAGAGCAATGTTTGAGCTTCCAAGAGGAGTTCAACTTAACCAATAGATTGTTCCATCCAAGGTCTATTCACAGCCTTGTCCTCTTGATGTGTATTTGTTTTCAGGTGGCTCCTGGTTGTTCCATTTCATGAACCAGATCAGGGAAATAACCAGATAGCTTGTTTGCAAAAGAAGGTAAAAAGGGGGAGGTAAATATACTGGGGGAAATGGCACAGGGCACACATTCCCAGGAAGTTCTACTCTGCAAAACTGTGCCAGAGAGCATTGGTCAAATGTTAGACATGTCAGCATTTCATCAGTGGGCTCCACTGCAGGATTGGATTGGGTATCCTAACTATGCAAACTATTGAATAATGGGACCAGTTGTCCAGGAAAGCTATGACATTGCATTCTATGGACATTTCAGGCTAAGCAATCCTGAACAATGCAAAGAACTAGCTTACCACTGAGCTTTCTCCTAAGTTTTCATTTCAGATGACCCCAGAGGTTGTCTTTCTAGAGCTGTAACCACAACCTGTTAAACAGGGGTGCTGGGGTTTAAACTATTGTATACCCTTTTTCTTTTCCACAAAATTATTCTAGGGTAGGGCCAGCCTTCTTATTAGGCAAAGTCAGCCGGCAACCTCAGGTGGCAGACAGTGAGGAGCAGCAACAAGGTGCTATCGGACAGGGTCCTGCAGGTGAACATAAGCAGAGTCTGCTGGATCAGGTCAATAATGACCCATTGATCCAGCATCCTGCTATCATGGTGACCAACCAGATGCCCAAAAGCAGGACTTCAGCCCATCAGCACCACCCCTGCTTGTGATTCCCAGCAACTGATAGGTGCCAATTCCCCTGCCCTACAGTAGCTTAAGCTAGCCTGCTGCCTTTAGGTTCAGTGGAGAACTCTGCCTCATCACCAGTGCTGAACTCCCAGGCAGTCCATGTTCATCCATGGCATGGGAGACACCATCTTGACCTTCACCTGAAGTAGAGAGTTGTTTGGGATCTGCCCTGTTTAAGGGTTGAGATGAAATATAGGGGCTTATCCGGCCTGCCAGTCTATTTAATCTGGCCCCCATGGGAGTATTTGTCCTGGGGTAAAATTCTAAAAAAAGCTCAACAACTTTGGGGCAAAATTGTAGAAAAAGTTCAACAAGTTCAATCTTTAAAAAAATCCTCAACAACTTTGGGGTTAAATCCAAAAGAAAGCTCCACAACTTTGGGCTAAACTTCAATCCTAAAAACAGCTCAACTTTGGTCTGCCCTCACACATGTTCACTTCATCAAATCTAGCCCTCTTTGGAAAAAGTTTGGGCACCCGTGTCCTAAGGCTTTTGCAAAGAAGGATTTTGAATGGATCAATGTGGCTTTCCCTGATTCACCAGGAGCCCTAGAAGACATGCTCTGTTATCAAGTGTTTTCCATTATAAAGGCAGATAGTCTAGTCACAGGGGTCAGCAAACTTTTTCAGCAGGGGGCCGGTCCACTGTCCCTCAGACCTTGTGGGGGGCCGGACTGTATTTTGAAAAAAAATATGAACAAATTCCTATGCCCCACAAATAACCCAGAGATGCATTTTAAATAAAAGGGCACATTCTACTCATGTAAAAACACGCTGATTCCCGGACCGCCCGCAGGCCAGATTTAGAAGGTGATTGGGCCAGATCCGGCCCCCAGGCCTTAGGTTGCCTACCCATGGTCTAGTATACCATGGTGATTTTAAGTATAAAGACCAAGAGAACGGTACTTCTTCTAGATCAAATACTATGAAATGCAAAAGCGATCTTATGCATACTGTGTGAAGTGATGCTTCAAGTTGTGTACTGTCCACCAATTTTTGCAGAGTTTCTCATGTGAACAATTAAAAGATGTGCAGTTCTTGCTTTTTTTGGCCCTAAACATGTTACCGTACTTGGAAATGTAGGACTTAATTTCAAGTGGCATGTTGATAAGGATGTCTGGCACCTTAATGCCCCCCTTTTTTGAGGGGGAGCACCAAAAACCAGTCATTTATATAAGGAGAAAGGCCATGTCGCTTTGCATTGCAGAAGAACCCAAGTTCATTCTGTGGCATCTGCAGATCGATGGCCAGGTAGTTGATAAAGGAAAGACCTCTGCCCAAAGACCCAGAGAGCTTCTGCCTGGCACAGTACAATGGTACCTCAAGTTACAAATGCCTCAGGTTACAAACGCTTCAGGTTACAAACTCCGCTAACCTGGAAGAGTTACCTCAAGTTGAGAACTTTGCCTCAGGATGAGAATGGAAATCGTGTGCCGGGAGCACAGCAGCAGCAAGAGGCCCCATTAACAGAAGCACAACTCTAGTTAAGAACAGTTTCAGGTGAAGAACGGACCTCTGGAATGAATTAAGTTTGTAAGTGGAGGTACCACTGTACTGTGTTACAGTGTACTGTGTTACAGTGGTACCTCAGGTTAAGTACTTAATTCGTTCCGGAGGTCCGTACTTAACCTGAAACTGTTCTTAACCTGAAGCACCACTTTAGCTAATGGGGCCTCCTGCTGCTGCCGCGCCTCCGGAGCACGATTTCTGTTCTCATCCTGAAGCAAAGTTCTTAACCTGAAGCCCTATTTCTGGGTTAGTGGAGTCTGTAACCTGAAGCGTATGTAACCCGAGATACCACTGTAGATAGGGTAAGAATCTGACTCAATACAAGGCAGCATTCTGTCTTTGTCACTGCCTGCTATCACTGGAGCTGCTTAGAGTTGCCACCTGATGGGTAAAAGATCAACTGCATCATGGCTAAAAATTCAGCAACTGCAGCTTCCATCATCACTGTCTTTACAGCAAAGCTGCAACTGATTGGTGTTCTTTCCCACTTTCCTTGCAGAGCCTCTTTTGAGGAGACAAATGATCTCATTGACTTTGATAGGCTATATCCACAGCTCAGACAGCTTTAAATAACAATTCCTAGAAAGTGCAGTTCTGTGAGTTGGGACTAGGGAACATTAATGTAAAATTCTCAGCACATCCACCAGGTGACAGTTCCCGGAATCCTTTGGTGCAGCCATGATGGTTGGATAAGGCAGATAATGTATTTTTGGGAGTGTGCAGATGTTCTTAGTCAGGCAGCCCATCCCACTAGCCAGTTAAGAAGAACTGGGAGTTTAAATTAATTTTTAAAAGCTTTAAGGCTTTTGAAGATGATTGGTCCAAAGTAAGCCAGTCCTATCTGTTAGGGAGAGTGAGGTGACCAGGGAGTTGATTTTGAGTGTCATGAAAGGGAAACAGATTGTTAGTTTTTGTTTGTTACTATATTATATTTGTGTTTTTATATTGTGAACTGCCCTGTGTCCCTCAGAAGAAGGGCGGTATAGAAATTCAATAAATAAAATGAATAAAATTAACCATGGAATCATAGGTCACCTGGATGACCACAAATGTGTACGGTGGTTAGTTTTGTTGTCATCCTTGGTTTTATTAAAAACAAACAAACCGATGAAGAAGCAGCAAGGATCTATACATTGACTGAGCATTTTTGAAGTGTTGATGAGCACTGGAGATGTACGGGGTTTTTTTGTTTACTATGCAGTCTGCCAATGGAGGCGTTGGTTTTTTGGTGGGTTTTGGTTTTTTATTGAAACACAAAACGCAATGCATGCAAATTCAAGATGATCTCTTTTAATTCTGGCTGCCTGGAGATGAAGGAGACTTACACCTGTTAAAGACTTGGGAGTTTTTATTCTTGCACAAGGTCTCAGAGTTGCCAGACCAGAACTCAAAAAGTGATACTTGTACTAAGAGTTAGTGACCAGCATAGCTTTTACTTTAAATTCCTTTATGCAGGAGGAGACAAGGAACCCACAGCTTCTTCCACCTGCTTTCACCTCACAGACATAGTGCCTGATTTACAGTGCAGCTCAAGACACCAGGAATCTTGCTCATTACCCCTGATGTGGAGGGCTAGATCCAAAGATTTGGGGCAGTGGAATTGGGCACAATTATGTAGAAAGATGTGTATGTTAGGAAACTTACACTAAATAGCTGATATAGTTCCATGAGGACTTTTTAAAAAATGCAAACTGATATGGAAATGTGCCAAGCCAGCTTGGACTGTGGGCCATAGCTGTCAACTTTTCCCTTTTCTTGCAAGGAATACTATTCGGAATAAGGGAATTTCCCTTTAAAAAAGGGAAATGTTGACAGCTATGCTGTGGGCTTAGGCTTAGGCTTTCCGAAACCCAAAGCCAGAGACCAAGCCAAAAGCACCTTTAGACCTCATCTCCAGCTTTGGCTTGGCTTTGGCTTCAGTTTCCAGCTTTGGGTTTCCAAAAGCTGTCACCGAAAGCTGCAGCTGAAAGCCGCTGCCAAAAGACAGGCCAGAGCAGTGGCGTAGCGTGGGGGGTGCAGGGGGGGTCAGCCGCACCGGGCGCAACTTCTGGGGGTTAGGGGGCGCAAATCCACGGGTTAGGGGGCACAAATCCACGGGTTAGGGGGCGCAAATCCACAGGTTAGGGGGCGCAAATTACTTGCCTTGCCCCGGGTGCTGACAACCCACGCTACGCCACTGGGCCAGAGGTTGGAAGCTGCTGCTGTCGAATCCAGAGAGGGGCAGCAGCTGAAGGAGAAGGGCGCATGATGGCAGTGGAACATAATGCCCATGGCAGTATCCAGTGCCGGACTTATGTATAAGCTAAACAAGCAATAGCTTAGGGCCCCACTCTCTTGGGGGGTCCCAAAAAAATTAAAGAAAAAAAACTGGATGTACATTTCCAAAATATAAGATAAAAAACAAATAAAATAAAACCTACATACAGCAACAGTGTATTCTGTTGTGTAGGCTCCTATGATGTCAGTAATAGGCCCTGCCTACTAGCCTGCTCTATAAAATATCACTGGTTTCTCATTTCTATATATAGGGTGCCTACATTTTGCATGTGCCAATGGCTTTAGATACCTATTAGGTCCATAAATCATCATATAGCATATATTCAACACAAAAAACAGCGGCAATTTGTTGTTGACAAAGGGCAGCTGGGCATATAAAGGGCCCCATTACCTTCAGTAGCTTAGGGCCTCATCCAACCTAAATCTGGCCCTGACAATGTCCATTGGCTTCTGCCACTCAAGGTGGTTACCTCAGTCTGCCTCATGGATGTCCCGGCCCTTTTAAACACAGTGACACTTTTTGTGCATAAAAGATGCACAGGACTTCACTTACTGGTGTCAGCTGCATGAAAATCGACCCATTGTGTCTTCTCTGGTGCCACCCAAATGCACATCCCAAGTGTGCAAATGCGCCTCTTCCCCCAATGTTACGTACGTAAAGATTCCAGGGCAGCACCAAAAGGAACTCTTAACCCAATATGTGGTAGAATTCTACCAGAATTAATAAGACTAGCAAGGGTAAACACGGTTGTTTGAAATCCCACAAAGGGGGAAAGCTGCCTTTACGTGCCATGTGTCATTTATGCTAGTCTAATTTGTTCAGGATGTGCTGCCAAAGGGGTCAAATCCAAATGTCTCATCTTCAAGGGGCTGCAGATAATGCTGTAATCCCGCTGAAATCCAGAAGTGTCAGATCTCCTGTTCGTGTAGAATTCATTTGTGTCCTTTGACTTACAAGCCCTAATCAGAGCTCCAAGGATACTCCTTGTGGTTACCCAGTGGTGAGGGAAAGGCACTCTGCACAAGCGCAATAGTGCTGATTTTTTTATTGTGGCAGAACTAACTAAGCCTTGCAGAAATAAGTCCTTTTTTTTTTTACAGTGTAAACAGGTTTGCTTGCAGGGGCGGGGAGGGAATCAACCGTGGCTCTAATTAAGCACCTGCAAGTGCTCCGGTTTCCTTTGCCCCTGACCTCAGATCCTCTTGGGCAGAACTTTCCAAGAAAGACAGAAAAGCCTCTCTGCTAGAACTATGTTCTGAAGTATTTACAGTGGAATTTAATGCAGTCCACACACCAGCCTGCTCTTGGTGAACAAGCTGAAAGGATGGGAAATGCCTGATTGGTCCCAGATTGCCAGTTTGCAAGGCGGATAATAGTTTCAACTAGGATAGGAAAACTCAGCCAAGAGAGAGTTACACGTCCTTCCAGTTTTGCAGATGCCTCCTCCTGTTCTCCCTTCCCTCCTTCCCTCTTTCTCTCTTCACTTTACCAGGCCCGACTGGTGCCTATATAACACTTTATGACTGAAAGTTGCCAAATCACTGCTACTTTGATGTGAAAGCCAAAGTATCCCACTTTCTGTAAAGTTTACGTATCAAAGGCCCTTTAAATGTAACCCAATCTGAATTCCCCCTTTAAAAAAAAAAAAAAATATCGAAAACATGCGGAACCAGGGGCAAACCTTAAGCTACGGAAGCTGTTCTGAATTCCAGTGCTAATGCACAGTGGGGAGTCCAGTTTGAGCATGTGCAAAGGGTCTCTCCCATACCAACTAACAGTAGCGGTCAGTGGGGCACAATGGGGCTTTTTTCTTACCTGCCTTGCCAGTACAGTATTACGTTGCTTCCACTTACTGAGAGAGCAAGATTATCTGCACAGTTCTGAGCAGGCATCCTACTCAGGAGGGGGTCCTTTCTACCGTGAGAGTAAGAAGACCCAGGTCAGAGCCTTTCTACTGATTATTTCCATTGGGCCATTCCCAACTCTTCCTTTTTCTTGTTCGCCACAAACTTGGAAGCTTTCGGCTAAAGCACTTAAAACCACATTAGTTGTTGCAACACACACATGTTGCCCAACCCACTACTGGCAATGGGGCAGAAGAGATATTCTAACATTTTGCATTTTAACGAGGAAGCATGTACAGTGGTACCTCGGGTTACATACGCTTCAGGTTACATACGCTTCAGGTTACAGACTCTGCTAACCCAGAAATAGTACCTCGGGTTAAGAACTTTGCTTCAGGATGAGAACAGAAATCGTACAGCGGCGGCGGCAGGAGGCCTCATGAGCTAAAGTGGTGCTTTGGGTTAAGAACAGTTTCAGGTTAAGTACGGACCTCCGGAATGAATTAAGTACCGGTACTTAACCCGAGGTACCACTGTAATTTGCACTTCTCGAACCAGTACGAGAACTGAAACGCAGCTATCATTTGAAATTTGCACTTCTCTGTATTTTGTAACAGTCCTCTAACTAAACAGTGAGTCCAAAATGCATGTATCAGGGAGCTGCACTTTAAAATGCAGATGTTAGTAAAAATATGATGGACAAAAATGCATTCTGTTGGGCAAAATTGTTTGCACAAATATGAATATATTGGGTAGAAGTCTTACAGAAATGTCTGTAATAGGAGAAAATTGTGCTAAAATTCTGCAAAATACAAGGATTTTTAAAAAAGAATAGTGATTTTTAAGCACTATGCTTAAACATGGCTGAAACAAGTTCCGTGTTTTTATGTATATGATGTTTAAATCTCTCTTGTTTGGTTGCATTTGGGGGGTGTTGGGTTTTCCCCCCCATTTCCAATCCCATGTAATTGAAGAAAAGGTTCTACATGCATGTTTGGATTAAAACTTAATACGCAAAATGTCCTGCTGCCATGTTCTGATTGGAAATGAAGCAGTATGTCCACCCTGAAACTTTTGCCCATACAAATGCTATTTTGAAGCAGATTGATTATTATTATTATTTATTAAATTTCTATGCCACCCATCAGCCTCAGATCTCAGGGTGGTTCGCAACATAAAAAAATACAATATAAAAGCACAAAATACATGATAAAAGCAAGAACAAAAAACCCTACAAACCAATAATCATTCTTCCCCCCTCCAACCTGATATAATCCTGAGCATAAATAATCATGAATGCACCCTTAAGGCCGGAGAGAGGCCTCAGGCAGCCCAATGCCTTGGGCAGCCCTGAGTGGGCTGCTCATTGTCATGAGAGAAGGATGTTCTGTGTGCGCTCAATTATTACTTCATGGGGCTGAAGATAGACCACAGTCAAGTGCTGCAGAAAGCTCTGCATGATTGTTTTTACACGTGACATTTACCTCGCCTGCTTTTGGATTTCCTGTGTCTCTAATATATATGTGCAGCCTGGTTAGAGTGTCAGAGCTGGGAGACCAGGGTTTGAATCCCCACTCGCTGGGTGGCCTTGGGCCAGTCACTGCCTCTTAGCCTAACCTACCTCACAGGGTTGTTGGGAGGATTAAATGAGGAAGGGGAGAGACATGTACACCACCTTGAGCTCCTTGCAAGGGAGAAAGGTGGAGTGGAAATGAATAAACAATGATACTAAAAGGTATGGTTGATTTTTCAAAAATAGTATTCATGACACTTTCTCTCCTGTATGAACACAGTAACCAGACATGCTGGCAATGGGTGTGAGGGAGACTCAAGCGCTCGTGTCACTTGGGAAGGTGCTGTTGATGGAGCAGGGTGTGTGTGTGTGTGTTGGTGTTTGCTGTGTATCTGAAGGGTTGTCTGCTCCAAGCTTGGTTTAAAGACAAAGCGTAAGGTTTGGAACATAGAAACAGAGAGCAGGGAAGGCCTTTGAGGTTGGCTGTCAACAGTTAGCACCTGAACAGATCCACTGTCTGGCAGCAGCCTTTGAGAAGACAGTGTTGGGTTCCTTTCAAAGGCTCTTTAAAGCAAGTGCCCACCTCCTTTCTCCACCCTGACCAGCAGCTGAGTCACAGAACCAGGGCCAGCAAGACGAGTTATTGCTTGCTTCTAATAAACATGGCCTCAGCGCCAAGCACTGTGTTTGTTATTGTAAGAGAAGATGGAAACGGCAGCGTTCTAGCCCCAGAAGACTTGGCGCTTTAAAGCAGACTGCCAAGATGGGGATATGAGATAGAGGCCAGGGATTGGCACATGGCATAAGAACTTATAAGCCACACTACTGGTCCATCTAGGTCAGTATTGTCCACAGACAGGCAGCGGCTTTCTGGGGTTTCAGGCAGGAAGTCTCTCCCAGCGCAACTTGGAGATGCTGGGCATTGAAGCTAGAATTTTCTCTGCATTCAGATGCTCTTCCACTGAGCCATGGAGCAGTGTGGATGGGATCAGTGGAGAAGATGCAAACGCTAATGTCCTGTCTCTCTCCTGTTTGCCAGGGTCCTGTGCTGGAAGGAAATCTAAGATGAAGTTATGGGATGTGGTGGCTGTCTGCATGTTGCTACTCAACACAATCTCCACCTTTCCTCTTCCTGATGGCCAGACCCGCTCAGTGCTAGAGGGAGCTGAAGACGATCACACCTCCAACCGGCTGCTGACTCCTTATGCTGGCCAAATGGACTGTAAGAAAAAGTTCCCTTTCCTCCTTTCAACTTCTATCTGTCTTAACTACTGAAAAAAATGCTTTTGGTTGTCCTGGCACCAAGTCTGGACGTTTATTTAACTAGCTTTCCTGGGAGGGTTCCTCCTTTCCCAGCCTAGAGCTGAGAGAGATCTAAACCCAAAAGCAGAAATGTAGCAAGCATGACTGACGGCTCAGGCCTAGTCATGCAGAAGCCACTGGGAGTTAAGAGGACTAGGCTGACTCATTCACCATGCAACTGTACTCCCATTGGCATCATTGGGTCTGAAGGTTCACCCATATGGTTATCACTGTGTTTTATCGTTTGGTGGTTTCAGACTTTGGGAATGCTAGTTTGGTGAGGTTGTTGAGGATACCTTACTAGAGGTTAGACGCCATGGTAGTCCAATTGCTATGAAACCAAAAAGATTCACAGGTGTGCTCTTGTGGGGCCACCACTGACTTTTCTACTTGCTTGCCCTCTCCTCTTTCTTATAAGGAGGTTGCATGTGAACCAGAAGTCTCTACATGCCTGGTTCCAACGGAGTGCTGGGATTCCTTAACTCTAGTGATTCCATCAGCATTCTTGCCATTGCGAATAATCAGGAACATGTGTACTTTCAGTATACTTGCCGCTTCCTCTGCATGAATACAAGGAAGGGCAAACCTCTGTCTGTTTGTTTTGAAATCTGGCGGCACTGCTGAGTGCAAAGCATCCCTAATGAAGTCAATGAGGTGGCAGCTTTTGTTCGTGGAGAATGAGTCAGAGCTCACCAAGCGGAAGGAGACACACCAATGGCTGGGAGGCGGAACAATGCTCCTTGGGCTTAAATTCAAAGTCCATCAGCTAACTGGGCTCAATTAGACTATGACAAAGAATCCCACATCTAGGTGCAAACTGAAGGCTTGTGCAGAATTGATGCTTTTCAGGGTGCAATAAGCAAACTGTGTTTCTAGCATATCAATATGCCAAATCACCTAGAAGCACCAGCTACCAGAAATAGGATTGCCACAAATTACTGACAGTCCAGTTCCCCTCCACATCAGTGGAGCAAAATGAGTAGGAGACCAAAAGGGTTAGCTACACTTAGTAGTTGTATCTAAATGTGAAGTTGAAAGTTGGTCCCTAATGTCCAGCAGCCCAGTGCCGGATTACGTATAAGCTAAACAAGCTATAGCTTTAGGGCCCCACTCTCTTGCCCCCCCCCAAAAAAAGTTAAAGGAATAAAAAAAAAAGGATGTACATTTCCAAAATATAAAAAACAAATAAAATAAAACCTACATACAGCAACAGTGTTTTGTGTTGTGTAGGCTCCTATGATGTTATGTGCAAATGGTTTTAGATACCTATTAGGTCCATAAATTACCATTTAGCATATATTCAACACAAAAAACAGCGACAATTTGTTGTTGACAAAGGACAGCTGGACATATAAAGAGGATGGAAAGAAGCACGCAGCAGGCTACAAGACTGAGCGGGCCACAGTCAGGTTCACGGGCCTGCCCAGAATATGCCACATACGCCCACTTCCCTTCTCCGCAGGCCACCCATGCTCATTGCAGCGCATAGGGCACTGTGCTCCCAGGGTAATTATTGTTGCTGCAAATCACACAGTCCTCTCCGCTGTTGCTTTCCTGTGAGAGAGAGGGATTCTCAAGCCTCTTTTGCCTTCTCAGCATCTTCCCAGCAGATGCAAAACCACATCTGCATTCTTTCGCTTTCTGCCTCGTCTGATCCTCCTCCTCTCTCGCTCTCTTCCCACTGGAATCTTTCCTGGGTTTCCCTCTTCACGTTTTGGAGAGAAGCCACATTTCCTTTCAAGGAATGATGCACGTTGACCAAAAGACCTAACTGTCTCCATTCCCTTCTCCTTCCACCCTCCTCGCCCTCCGGGCCAGACCGTAGATGAGGGAATGCTTGGGTGTCTTGTGAACTCGCTTTTCTTTTTTGATGAAAATAGATAGGAGATCCTATGTAATCTCGTGTCGCCCTTCCTTCAGAAGCCACCTTTGGCTGCCTTATTTTAATTCATAAAAGTATTCATATACCTCTGTCTCACAGAAAATATCAAGGCCAATTGGAGGTTGATCCCAAAATTCCTACTTGGCCCCCAAGTGACTGATTCATTCTTCATGGCTCTGAAAGTGGGGTGAACGGGTCATTGCAGAGGCTCTGAATGTGGAAGGTGAGGGTAGAAAGGTAAAGGTCAAAGGTAAAGGACCCCTGGATGGTTAAGTCCAGTCAAGGGCAACTATGGGGTTGCAGCGCTCTTCTCACTTTCAGGCCAAGGGAGCCAGCGTTTTTCCACAGACAGCTTTCCGGGTCATGTGGCCAGCAGGACTAAACCACTTCTGGCACAACGGAACACTGTGACGGAAGCCAGAACGCACGGAAACACCATTTACCTTACCGCCGCAGTGGTACCTATTTATCTACTTGCACTGGTGTGCTTTCAAACTGCTAGGTTGGCAGAAGCTGTGACAGAGCAGCGGGAGCTCACCCTGTCGTGCGGATTCAAACCGCCGACCTTCCAATCGGCAAACCCAAGGGGCTCAGTGGTTTAGAGCACAGCGCCACCCGTGACCCTAGTGAGGGTATTGCCTGCTCTATGGAGGGAAGCAGCTTCCCTTAAGCAATTGTCCACCACAGTGATGGGATCGTTGTCCTACCCACCCTTCTCTATGCAAGAAGGGAGCCCAAGAGTCTTCCTCTATGGAAGGCCAGCTACTCCCATCACCCCTAGCTAGCAAGGCTGCTCTGTGGGTCAAATTCACTCCCCATATAAAAGGTGATGGAGCAGCCTTCTCAAAGTTCATCCTGTTGGCCTTGGCCTGGCGTGCCAGCCAGTCAAGGCCATTTGGTCTCTGTTTTCTGTCCCTCCCCAGCTTCATGTCATTTGAAATTTGAGAAGCATTCCCTTTATACTCTCATCCAAATCATGTCATTAAAAAAAAGTTGACAAGCACAGGGTCTAGGTCAGAGTCCTGCCGCACTCCAGCCGAGATCTGCCTCTGGATTGGTGCAGAACCATTAATGGGCCTTTGCTCCCTAAACTGTTTTACTGCAAAATCAAACATTCCAGTTTTGTAGCTCTCAGCTACTGAATTTCTTTCTTTTACTCATGGCTGACTGACCCTGCCTATGCAAAAAAAAGGACGCACATCTGCATAGTGTTTCCTGCGTGCGCAATTTATTCTGCAAGCAGAATTTGGATTGCCTTGCAAAATTCCGTTATTCTGTTTGCCATTCGCATAAGCAGCCTGAAGAAACCATTCTTCGCCGTCTGTCGAAAGCTTCCTTTGCCTCTCACGGTGGCTTGCAAGGAGCAGAGGCGGACAGGTGGCAACTTCCTTCAGTGCTTCATCAAAGCCCTTTCCTGCGCCATGCAGGCCAACATGCAGTCCGACGGCTGCGTGTCCGAGGGGGAATCAAGTGTACTCTGGGAGGAAGTAGCGGGCAACAGGTGAAGACCACACACACATAGGCACATATCAGACGGCATTTTCACCGGGCGGCCAAGTCTGTCTGTGCACAATGAAAGAATCATGCCGATCAGCTGTTCAGTAGGCAGAAGCAGAACTAAATCCAGTGCTTCCCCTCCCCTCCCCTGTCCGGCATCCCCCCAAATAGCTGCCTGGCATTATCGCTTATTTCCTAACAGGGCTCTGTGCATGCAGTCCTGGCAGCCAGATTGAGGGGAGGAACTGCATGGGCAGCACCGCTTGCAGCCGCTAAGCGCTCATCCAACTAGGGCTATATGCATCCACCTGCGGGTTGACCGTGGCTTGATTGAGCAGATATAAATACCCTCTCACTTCCTGAACGAGATCCTGCTTGTGCTTAGGAAATTAAGCTTCATAACAGAGTGGGGATTTGGATGTTGGTTTCCAATATGGAAACTGAAGTACAGTCATAAAAAGTTAAAGGTACCCCTGCCCGTACGGGCCAGTCTTGACAGACTCTAGGGTTGTGCGCTCATCTCACTCTAGAGGCCGGGAGCCAGCGCTGTCCGCAGACACTTCCGGGTCACGTGGCCAGCGTGACGAAGCTGCATCTGGCGAGCCAGCGCAGCACACGGAACGCCGTTTACCTTCCCGCTATAAAGCGGTACCTATTTATCTACTTGCACTTAAGGGTGCTTTCGAACTGCTAGGTTGGCAGGCGCTGGGACCGAGTGACGGGAGCGCACCCTGCCGCGGGGATTTGAACCACCGACCTTTCGATCGGCAAGTCCTAGGCGCTGAGGCTTTTACCCACAGCGCCACCCGCATCCCTCGAAGTACAGTCATACCTCGGGATAAATACGCTTTAGAATAAGTATTTTTGGGGTGTACTCCGCAGCAACCTGGAAGTAACGGAGCATGTTACTTCCGGGTTTTGCCGCTCGCACATGCGCAGATGGTCAAAATTACATCGTGCGCATGCACAGAAGTGGCAAGACGTGGCATGTGCAGTCGCACAGTCGCGTCTTACATTCTGTTCAGGATGCGAACGGGGCTCCGGAATGGATCCCGTTCTTATCCCGAGGTACCACTCTACACTGTATTTTTGTTTAAACTCTGGTCTGCCCAAGTAGGATATATTGGGTGTGGAGGGGCAATTTTTAGGGGTGTGAGAGGTGCTAAGTCCTCCTGCCTCTTACAGTCTGTATCCCCATTGCCACTTCCCTCCTGCACCTGGGCTCTGATACCTGAAGACAACTGGGAGGAGTGGGGATATTTCATCTCTTTCTCCCTTTCATGAAAATCAGACATTTCTACCATCGCCACACTTGAGGTGTCACTGAGGTTGACTCAGCTTTAGATGGCGGGTTCTTCTGTTGTCAGATGTCATTTGAGATTTATAAATGTAAAATATTTCCATCAGTATTAACCTCTGGATAGTTCCCCTGTTTCTATTTAAAATTATTTTATTAGTATTTATTACATTTGTATACTGCCCTTCGTCTGTAGATTTCAGGGCAGTTCATAAAAATACAAGATAAAAATCCAAACATCCCTGGGGAAACCTTTTCACAAACAGGGAGCCACTGCAGAAAAGGCCTGTTCTTGTGTTGCCACCCTTTGGACCTCTTGTAGAGGAGGCACATGAAGAAAGTTCTCAGATAATGGTCATCAGGTCTGGGTAGGTTTAAATCAAGGGTCGCTCATGCTGTATGATGTCATAAGTAAAAGGTAAATATAGGTCTCAACCACTGAGCCTCTTAGGCTTGCTGATTTGAATCCGCTCGACGGTGGTGAGCTCCAATTGCTCTCTCCCAGCTTCTGCCAACCTAGCAGTTCAAAAGCAGACCAGTGCAAATAGATAAATAGATACCACAGTGGCAGGTTAGGTAAACAGTGTTCCCATGCGCTCTGGCACTTGTCACGGAGTCCCATTGCACCAGAAGTGGTTTAGTCATGCTGGCCACATGACCTGGACAGCTCTCTGTGGACAAACTCTGGCTTCCTCAGCCTGAAAGCGAGATGAGTGCCACACCCCATAGTCGCCTTTGACTGGACTTAACCATCCAGGGGTCCTTTACCTTTACCTGTAGAGTTCCCTCTCCAACAGAGGTGTGTCTCGCTTCTTCACTATACAGCTTTCAGCGAGTACAAAAGACACATCTCTTTACCTGGCCATTGACACCTGAGAAGTGTGTTTTCAGGGTCCACCTTACCTGTAATAAATACCACAAGGACCGCCTTCCCCATATGAACCAACCTGGACCCTGCAGTCATAATCTGATTTTAATGTGTTGAGATATATCTGTATCTATCTACCTATCTACCTACCCACCTGCCCTTTGACCTTATGGTGAAGGGCAGTTAAGAAATCCAATAAATAATGTAAGAATATAATTCCTGCAGATGGACATTTTAGATTGTGGCTGAGGAGAGATTTAAACCCAGCTCTTGTAGACCCCCCCGCCAATTTTCTTGGACTAAAGTGTGAGATTATGGCTGCTTACACACCAGGTATTTAAAGCGCACAACTTCCCCTGGGAACTGCAGTTTATACTAATGGTCCTGAGAATCATAGCTTTCCAAGGGATAAACTACAGTTCCCATGGTTCTTTAAATGTATGAGCTTTAAATGTATATACAGCCTACAGATTATATTGAAACATTCATTATATCTGGAGTTTAAAACCAGCCTGTTTCTGCCTCTCCCTCTCACCTGATAAGGGAGATGCAACTGGAACCATAATGGTGGAGGGGGACAACTAACTAAGCGACTTCAGTTCTTATTCCTCCTGCCCCAAAGTATTGGCTTGTTCCAGTACTGCCTCAGGACATTTAACATGCCACCTGAGAGAGCGAGAGAGAGAGAGAGGACGCCAGTGAGAGTGTCAGATTTTGTGGGAATTCTAAGATGGAGGAAAGGTTGCCCTCTGTTCTTCCTCTGACACATTGGTGAGCCAGCAAGGAAGATAATGAACCTGAACACCATTAATCATTTAAAGATTATTTGATCTCAGCATCTTTGATGTTATATTCCGTTAACGAATGCCGCTGACGGGTCTCCATTTCACCCAAGCCATGCACGAAGCCTCTTCTTAATACGAGAAGTTCCTTTAATTGCTTAAGCCCCGTCACCATTTCAGAAGGCCAACAGGTGAATTTTGATTCCTTTCTGGTAACGTCCATTACTGAGAAGGGCTTGTAACGCGAGTATTATATTCTGCTTCCTAGCCTGCTATGTCTGCTCATTTCAAACCAGGCTGCGGGAAGGTGAAAAGATGAGAACGGCTCATTGATTTCATGCACTTTCACAGGCCAGCGGTTGATGAACATCTAAATATACTGGGGTCAGGGAGGGCAGGAAGGATATTTGTTTAAGGCAAGGCCGGGGAGCACTTTTTCAGCTCAAGGGCCAGATCCTCTTCTGCACAACTTCTTGGGGGCCGCATGTATTTGTATGCCACCTTTCCACAGCTAAAACCATGCTCGAGGTGGCTTACAGCATGAAACAAATTACATAGTTACAAATAGAACCGTAGTAGTCAAAAACAATGAGCAAAACACATCAAAAAGTACACAACAAAATTGAGCAATTTCCACATAAATCATAGCAAGATTTAAAAATAAGGATACAAAAAATTAATCAGTAACAGCAACAATCTCCCCTGTTACAACCTTCCGTAAACAGTACCCCAACTAAAGACCAGCACATATTCCTCACCATGACCATGCAATATTTTTTTCTTTTAAAAAGCATTTTCTTTGAATAAAGTGCAGTCCCATTTATTTATTTATTTATTTACTTACTTACTTACTTACTTTATTTTATTTTCTACACTAATTCTCTATCTGAGGATCTCATGGCGGTTTACAACATAAAAACACAAAAATACATATCAATGTTAAAAACAATAACTGTATCACATACACTCCAACACAATTTCGTTTGGATTTGCTCTTTTAAGAGGGGGACAATCCAGTTTTGCTCATAAAGCAAATATCTCTCATAATGTTAAGCAAGGCAAACACATATTTAACAAGATAGGGTTAGCATAAGTGTAGTGCAACGAGGGCTTTTTCCCACTGATAAAAGGATGATCAAATTTACAAGCCCCAATATGCTTAAGATCTGGTTGGTGCCTTACAAAATGCTTCAAAATCTTTCAGAGTAACTAGCAAGATGGCACTTCTCACTTTAACCATCTTCTACAGCTTCCACAAAGAGACATTATCCGTGTCCAAGGCAAAAGCACACAAGTGAATATAAGGTAGGGTTAGGAGTGGATGTGCCTGGGATGGAGTCTGGTCTGGGGAGAGACCCAAAGGTCAGCGAGGGAGGTTTGCAGGGCCACATCCAGCCCCCAAGCCTCTTTTGATTTAGGGTACAGTCCTCTCTAAAGGTATTCTGCTCATGGCACACCGAGAAGAATGGAAGATGCAGAGGGAAGATGGGTTGGATCCAAACACAACCTCCCAATGTGTGATGGGGAACACTGGTTCATACATTGCAGAGAAGGGGTGCTTGAGGAATGCTACCATGGTGAATTTAGGTGGTCTGCTCCTCTTGCTTTAACATGCAGGTCTGAACTGAGCTACAAACCAGTCCTATGCATTGAGCTCATTCAGACTTGCTCCCAGGTGAGTGTGCATAGGATTGCAGCCGCAATTATCAAAAGATGCATTTAAATAATGTTCTGAGAAGAATTATGCATTCATAGAGAAAGCATGCAAGTATATAAAATATGCCTATGTGTGTGTGTGTGTGTGTGTGTGTGTGTGTGTGTGTGTACTACAGTCGTACGTCCATATGCCTTGCGACTTGAACGTTTTGGCTCCTGAACGCCACAAACCCAGAGTGAGTGTTCCAGTTTGAGAATGTTCTTTGGAACCTGAACGTCCGACACAGCTTACGTGGTTTCCAATTGGCTGCAGGAAGCTCCTTCAGCCAATCAGAAGCTGTGCCTTCGTTGTCAAACATCTTTGGAAGTCGAAAAGATTTCTGGAATGGATTCCGTTCGACAACCAAGGTACGACAGGATAGATAGATAGATAGATAGATAGATAGATAGATAGATAGATGATAGATAGATAGACACACACACACATATATACACGCCTGTATATAAGAAGAGGTTCTTCCTCCCAATATACCTTCATCTGACAAACTATTTTCTCTCTGTATTTTCAAAACAGCTAATATTTCTGAGGATTATCCCAAGCGGCTTGGTGACGTAGAAGATTTCATTCAAGCCACTATAAAAATCCTGAAGAGGTCACCAGATAAACCAACGCCATATAGCTCCAAAAGGGAAAGAAACCGTCAACGTGCAGCAAAGAACAATAATAATTCCAGCAGCAGAAAAGGACGGAGAGATCCGAAGGGAAGAAACCGGGATTGTGTCTTAACTGAGATGCACTTAAATGTGACTGACTTGGGCTTGGGATACAACACCAAAGAGGAGTTGATTTTCCGGTATTGTAGTGGTTCCTGCGAGTCCGCTGTAACCGTGTATGACCAAATTTTAAACAATTTAACCCAAAACAGAAAGTTGGCCAGTGACAAAATCAGACCACAGCCTTGTTGCAGACCCATTGCATACGATGATGATGTTTCGTTTTTGGATGATGACCTATCAACTTATCACATACTGAAAAAACATTCCGCAAAAAGATGTGGATGTGTCTGACATCCTTTTTGGGTTTGATATTGCATTCCTGCTAAAGAAGGGTCCAAGGCTCCCAAGAAGATGGAATGATGGCTTCAGAGGAAGGCAAGAGGACCAAGCATATGGGAGAACAACAACAAGAAGACAGGATATAAATCAATCAAAATATAATAATGATATAATTGTGGGAGCCTGGTTGTTAGAAATCCAACACAGGAGAATTGGATAGGATACAACCGCTGGGGCGTTTTGTTTTGACAGGAAGGCAAATAAGCATCAATGCTCAGGGGCAGAGATCCAAGATGGATGGAAGAGACTTACAACATTTGCTTTAAGGCGATCCACTGTTAGCAAACCCTGGCAAGGCAGGTGCTTAACAACACAATCTCTGTCGGATAGCTTGCTCCGCTCCTCTTTGGTTTTTTTCTGTTACGGAATTGGAAGTAACAACCATCCGCCACTGGCCTTGACCCCAAAATATTGGGCAGAGGGGCGGGGGATCCTTTATTTATTTATTTATTCCATAAAATTTATACACCGCTAGATTGTCGCAGAAGCCTCAAAGCGGTTTACAAAAAAAGATAAGATGTTCACTAAAAAAAAAAAATCACAACAATGGTTTAAAGCATAGAAAAAAGTTAAAACACGAAAACCAGTTCAAACGGCATGTGCAAATACCTGCCGGCGAATTTCAACGGCAAATACCAATGGCGCATTTGCCACTTGAGGCAGAGCAGGCGGGAAAATGGAAAAAAGTTAAGTAACAAGGTAGTAGAATGTGGGACTCTTAAGCCTGCTACTCAGCTTGCCCCAGGCACTGCCTTGGGTCAACGACTGGGGAGGTTCAGCTGCCTGGCGCGTGCCTGTGATGTCATGTGCACGACACGCATCATCAGAGGGCGAGGCGTCATTGGCAGGAGGCCTTCATTGGCTGCAGCTCCTCCTCTCTCTCATGCCCAGAAGGAACCTGCCTTTTGACCATGCTTGGCGGCTTGGACTCTTCCACCCCTTTAATATTTGGGGGGCTGAGCTCCCTGCTAAGGAATATTGAGGGGGCTGATGGCACCTCTGCCCCCTAGAGTTGGCGTGCCTGCAGCATCCCCTGGTATTATAGAAACCATAGCAGCAGCACTCCTGTCTGTTCCCACCAGGATATTATGAAGTCCTCTCCTTCTTGCACAGTCAGAGTCAGGAGAAACCCCCCAGCTATGCTGTAACTTCTCTGCTCAACAGTATCAGCTTTCACAAAATTAGGTTAACGTGAGAATGGAGAGGAACAGACTTTCCATGTAAAGTGGTACCTCGTGTTAAGTACCTTGTTCCAGAGGTCCGTTCTTAACCTGAAGCACCACTTTAGCTAATGGGGCCTCCTGCTGCCACTGCGCCGCCGGAGCACGATTTCTGATCTCATCCTGAAGCAAAGTTCTTAACCCGAGGTAATATTTCTGGGTTAGCAGAGTCTGTAACCTGAAGCATATGTAACCTGAAGCGTATGTAACCCGAGGTACCACTGTACTGGGTTTCTCATGTTACCTGGTGGAGCAGGAAGTCGTGGCACTCTCGAAGCTCTCACACCATGGAGGTAACCTGAGTAGCAGGCCTAAGGTGTCAGCAAAAATATTTTTAGCCTGCTATTCTATACCTGCTTACGTGGGGATAAGGCCCATTGATCTCGTTGAGATTTGGTTTTTTTAGTAGATATGAACAGGATTGCACCGTTGGTATATTGGCGAGCAAGATTTCCAGTTAGCTAGCTAAAATTCCACCCGCTTTTGAAAAGCAGTTCCAACACAAAAGTTGCGAATTGAACTCAAGCATGATTATCGGAATTGGGGGAGAAATAAGAGTTTTCTTTTCATCTTCTCTCTGAATACAAGTTGTGTTTTTAACCACTTGCTCCTGCCTCGGCTGCGCCATGAAAAAAAAATGTGGATCTTTTTTTCTTCTTGGTTTACAAAAAGGACTAAAGGTCACTTACTTAAAGGACTACATTTCTATTTGAGGTCGTCGTGAGTGAACAAAGACTACTTGGTGCAATGCATCCGGTCAGAGACAAATCTAGAGAAAATATTTATTGAGATTTAAGTTATTATGATGATGATGATTATTTATTACGGTTCGGTCTTGAGTTTCCTTTCCTTTATTTATTAAAGCTTCTTTCTTCAAAACAGGTGCCAAAGTTAACAATGAGACACAGATGCTGGGAACAACGGTCCATGGTTGATATATGAAATGCTAACTTAAAAAAAAAAAATCACTTACTTTACCTTTTGAATGAAAATCACAGAACCACCTCACAACTGATAGGCCAGTTCTGTAGTACCTCTACACATAGACACACACACACACACACACACACACACACACAGGGTCTTGGCGGTATTCTTGTTTGGTGTCAGTGGAGCATTGTTGTGCAAGAGAAAGCATAAGCAGATTGCTGGTAGCTTTGTTGCCCAATCGAATCTTCGCAATAGACTGTACAATAGGTTTCCACTAGTGTAGTTGGTATGGAGAATCCCTCTGTTGTACAACATTAAAATTCATCTGTTTGCTAATGTTCCACTATTGAATGCAGTTCTAGGTACCTTAAATACTCAAGACGCAGGCCTGTGACAGAAAAGTACATAAAATTTGCATATGCTAATTGATATGTATAGATGAAAATTTAGGTTTATGAGCAAATTAAGATGGTGGATGCCTGGTGGATCACCAACAGAGTACTTTACAGCAAGTGCAGCAGCCCTTTAAGCAAAGTGAAGTGTTGGTGTGTTTTTTAGATTAAAAAAGGGCAGCAGAGGAGGAAGATATGGGGAGCACTGAAAAAGACTTGGGTTCAAGTCCATTGTTGTTGTCGTTGCTCCCGCCCCCATCAATCAATCAATGATTGATCACCCCAATCCAAAATAAGGAGATGCAACCATGAATTCACGCGTATGTGCATGAAGCTTCTGTAGATGAAACTCTGGATGCTCAAGCGTATTTAGAAGTGATGCTCACCTAAGTCTTTTTGAAACATATTTGAATGCAAATCCCCATCCAGGACCGCAAACAATTGCAGCTGATTAGAGCTCGGATCAGAGTCCACAACCTCATCATTAACACCCCCCAAAATACTAGGTAACATTAGCTAGAATAATGGGTAGGGGAAAGCAAAGAGTATAATCCTGCTAAATGGAATTCCCATTGACTTCAATGGGAGAATTAACCATGTCCCTGCTGCACTGACCTGGAGTTGAAAGTCCTCACCTTTTGGCTGGATGGTCCCCGTCAACAGATTTTGAACCATTTTCTTTGTCAGATGGAATTTAACCAATCCCCATAAGCTTTATATTATCATCAATGAAGCAGGTTCGCAGAAAGTTGATAGTTTTGTTTCATTTTAAAGTTACTGTTACATTACCCTTAATGAAGAGCATAATATGGCTGGAAAGATTCCAGAGCACTTAAGCTTTATAGTTGTGCTGATAAATTTGACATGTTTCTGCAGCCTTGCAAAAGGCTTGGGCTTTAAAATATGCTGTTAGTTGCTGAAAATGTTATTCTACAAAGCAGAGTGATTTAATATATATATTTCTAATAGGGCTCTTTTTGCCTTCTCATTTTATGACAGTAGGTGTTGTACATAATGGTGTATTGCTGCTATACCTCATCTATACATATCAATTAGCATATGCAAATGTTATGCAAACCTATCTCCTCTTTTCCCCCTCTTTTTCAGTCTTGATTTCCTCTTTCTTTTCTGTTTTTGGTGATGCATAAGTTGTCACCCTAGATGAGAAAAGAATTGAACCTGAGATGTTGTGCATTCAAAACCTTGGTGCATTCAAAACCACTGAGCTATGGGCAGTCCTCATGAATGTCAATAATTGATTCCGAATTAGTCTTTAATGAAATTTCACCCCCTGCCCTTCTTAAAGCTGTCTCTTTCAGCAAATGTATGTAGCAGCTCCCTAACACTTAACAGGACACAACGCAAGCACCTTTTCTTACTTGCCTCTTGCTTGCATTAATTGCTGCCCAGCGTTGATGTGCAGAGGGAGGTGACCGCAAAGCCACCCACAAGTTTACAGTGGTGCCCCGCAAGACGAATGCCTCGCAAGACGGAAAAACCGCTAGACGAAAGGGTTTTCCGTTTTGAAGTTGCTTCGCAGGACGAATTCCCCTATGGGCTTGCTTCGCAAGACGAAAATACCTTGCGAGTCTTGAGATTTTTTTCGCTTTTCCCCTTTATCTAATCTGCTAAGCCTTTAATAGCCTTTAATAGCCTTTTAGCAGCTAATCCCCTAAGCCTTTAAGCCTTTAATAGCCGCTAAACAGCTGATAGCGCTAATAGCGCTAATCCGTCAATGGGCTTGCTTCGCAAGACGAAAAAACCGCTAGACGAAGACTCTTGCGGAACGGATTAATTTCGTCTTGCGAGGCACCACTGTACTTTGCCAGCCTGGGTTGGCTATGGAGTGCAGGTATGAACTGCATGTACATCCAGGCTCACCACCCCCCAAGTTAAAACTGTGATGCCTCTTAAGTCTTACAGATTTCGGGGCATTTCATACTAGGAGGACCAACTCATTCTATCCTTCTGGCAGAAATTCACAAACCCCTTTGTTGCAGCAAAAGCATCTATTTATTGGCAATTGCCTAACCTTGGAGAAAGCAATCCCTTACAGGGTATCAAATCAACGTCTCCTGTGTTTAATGAGTTTAGTAGTCAAAGCAGAAGACCACCAGGTTTTATATGGCCTGCCAAGATGGTGCATGAAACAGAGAGATGAATGATCTAATTTAGAACTAAAATACATTCAACAGCAATTAGTCCTATGTGGGAAAATATATGCAAGCACGTTATTTTTAAGTCAAAGAGCATCAACGTATGCATATGCTTTGCTGAATCTACAGCAGCATTCTTTGGTATGCAAGGGTTGCATAATGAACTTTTTTTAAAAAAGAAAATAGATGCTTTCTATAGCAAGAGCTCTAAATATATTGAAAAATGTCACTAAGAGTGCATCCAGGTCAGGATC